ATCATCTTAAAACAAATCGCATTTGATCAAATGATGCAGAAAATTGACATTAATATATAAATATATGTCAGGATATCTTCGCACGGACATTAACACCATATTTATATTCTTCCATAGCAACAACTGATGTAAAGTCAGAGTATAAATCAAAGAACTTTAACATAATAACAGGATCGACCGACATTTAAAGAGCCTCATTCTGTTTTAATGACCGCTTATAGTATTATTGATTATTAAAGAGAAACAGGGGAATATGTTCTGATATATGATGTCAAACGTTAATTATCACTGTCATTTACACCAGTTCTTGTACATACTATTAGTTTATCGATATTATATGCCATTCAATTCTTGTTTCCGGGACACTTTCATTACAAATAATTTGATTTTCAATATCAGTCATTTGTTTGCGTAGGAAATTCCTGACATAAGTTTTTGTCATAACATTTATGATACTATCGGCAATTGGTTTTATTATGCAAGTCTTTGGCGAGCTTAACGACAATTTGTTTCCCTATATTGCTTTCAAAATATCAGTTTTCAGGGAAAACTTTAAATTGTCTCCTAAAGTTATTATTACGTATTCAAAAGACCATGAATGATTTATGAAATGGTTTTGTAAGCAAACAAAAAGTATCATCAAGTCAGACCTGTTCGACTTATTTTGGATGGTAGACCTTTTTAATGTAGCCTACAGTTATATTAACATCATAGACTTAATTATAATAATTAAACATGCGAGTTACGACTTTTTATTTTACATCAGATGAAATAAAGAGGTCAATATACATTGTTGCGAACAAGACAGCTGAATACATATATCAGACTCGGTAAGCACCTTGTACAATATAGATATGTACTCATTCAATAAAATTCAGTATTGTACTCAACAATGTATAATAACCTCATAATATCGCCTGATAAAACACATGTGAAATATGACCTAACATCTAAAGCAACGGTTTTGTTATAATTGAAGCTTCTTTCTTAAATTGTAAAAACCCCACCTTATTGTTATTTAATTAGAATGGGGAATTGTGTAATGACTATCATGATGGCCATACCACATGGTAAATGATGCTAATTTCAAGGTATCATTTTCAGTATTTCGTCTCTTGGAAGGGCTTAATCTAATGATGCTAAAACTTGTTGCCCAACACATTGACTTTTTGTTATATACTTGTCATTTTTTTATAATTTTAAATGTATGTGCTGCAATAAATCAATTTTAACTGAACTAGTATTTTGTATCTCTTCAAAGGAAACACCTGTGCATGTATATTTGAGCCGCGTCACGACAAAATAACATAATGGGTTTGCGACCAGCATGGATCCAGACCAATCTGCGCATCTGTGCAGTCTGATCAGGATCCATGCTGTTTGCTTACAAACCCTATAACAAGTAGAGAAACTGATAGCGAACAGCATGGATCCTGATCAGACTGCGCTGATCCATGCTGGTCGCAAACCCATTATGTTGGTTTTGTCATGACGCGGCTCATTTCATTTCTTCATTTATGTTCATGGCAAAAAAAAGAAAAAAAAAAGAAAAAAACAAAAAACATAAAAAACAAAAAAACGAATGCTAAGATGATAACTGCGATTCTTTTGTCAAATATACAATATTTCCTTACATTCTGTCAAAATTACAGTTGTGGGTGTTTTTGGCTAGGAAACAAGTTCATTTCCCCCGAATGTAATGAAATAATGTGCGCCGTACGTTAAAGAAATAAGAACATACTAGTACATATTGGTCGAGGTAGTTTTGCTATACTCTATTTTACAAGAACTAAAATATTTGAAGCTGTTTTTTTTTCTTCCAGATCGCGGTAAAAATGCAAAATGTGATACCTAAAAAAAGCAATACCAAAGTTGTTTTTCTTTTTTTTAAAATAAGTTTCCAGTAGCCCCGACACCATTTATAGTTCAGTCAACTCTAAAAAAGTGTTAATTAGTGATATTCGATCTATTTGGTTTTTTTTTTGCGGCGAGGTGTTACAAAAGCTTATATATTATTTTGATGGCATCTCACATAAAGAAATAACAACAATATTTCTCCCTCCGTGCGTTAAAAGCTCATATTATAACACGTTCAACAACAGGGTATCATATTCTATTTTCACACGCATTAGTAATGTAAATGACTATTCAATACGTTCCGTGATGTCAATATTAAAAAAGCTTTGAGAAGATTTATATATATTTTACCAGAAAATGATAAAGATAAAGTGAATATAATAATGATGTTTACACAATGGTAATACATTTTTGCCATGAATTGACATTTTTAACATGTTTACCACATATCTTGCGCCATGTGATGCATGATACTTAAAGACTGAATACAATTATATCATTCTGTTTTTAGTCTTCTAAGAAACTACAACAATGACGACCGCAACAATAACAAAAAACGGCAAAAGCAGCAACAACCTAACAATATATTACAGTAATCTATAAGCAACGGCAATAACATCAAAACTTAACTATCTATAGTGTTCATGTTAGAATATAATATGTGTATAATAGTGAATACAACAATTTCATTCTATTTTAGCCAAAGAAGAGTATATGTTACAAATTTTGTGTTTCATGTTAAGGGTATATTAGCGTTACATCAATAACCAGTTTTTATTTACAACCAACTTTTTTATTACAATCTATAAAACTTTGTATTACCTTTTGAATTTTATCAGCTTAGCATTCATAAGTAACATTTTGTTAGCATCCGGTGAAGAAACTTGTAGCACTTTGTGCATATACAATAGGAAATTTGATAGGGGGCTTGTATTTGAGTCAGTGAATTTTTCTAGACAGACTCTCACGAGAATCTCAGAATGTTACTCTTATAATTAACCTTATTATCACATATGAGCCGCGTCACGACAAAACCAACGTAATGTGTTTGCGACCAGCATGGATCCAGACCAGCCTGCGCATCCGCGCAGTCTGATTAGGATCCATGCTGTTCGCTATCAGTTTCTCTACTTGTAATAGGGTTTGGAAGCGAACAGCATGGATCCTGATCAGACTGCGCGGATGCGCAGGCAGGTCTTGATCCATGCTGGTCGCAAACGCATTGCATTGGTTTTGTCGTGACGTGGCTCATATATCCTCGTATTTTCGGACTACATATTCAACAAAATTGTAATAGAAGTATCACGCCAGTAACGTTTGTCCGGATCACACTTGTATGTAATATGGATTTTGTTCAGTCGGGTCATATTTGTGCATGTGGTACGTACATTACATATATACATACAGGATTGTAACGTTTAAAATGCATGTAATTTATAGTACAATAACATTTCGTAAACTCGAAACACCTGCAAATTTTCTTTTATAATTAAAGAAATTGAGAGCATCGCTCATTTCTTCTTTTGCCTAGGTTTGATATTATACTTTTAATATAATATCACATATGAATTGTTTTGAAATGAAATCCAAAGTTGTGCAATGTAGTTACCAATTACTATATAAAAAACTGTTTATTTTCCATTATTCTCAGATAACTTGATGGTATATCTTATTCACATCTTAAGGAAATGTATCTGTTGGTGGTCATTAAATGTATTTACCAGTAACATTATATCATGGTACATTTAAAACTTATGAAACAATGAGGCTACTTAATTTCTATTGGGAATATAATGATGAGAAAAAAACACAACATTGTAATAAGATGTTGAAGTAATTACATGTATACTAGCAATTAATCAATTAGCCCCTGACAATATGTAAGTCCTTGTTATTATTTTAACTTGCTGACACAAACTTCGCTGATACTACTATTAATATATACTATATCGTAATTCTAAAAAGGATATCTTATATAAATGCGTTTCAAGTTTATAACAAAGTATGACCAAATACACAATATAATAGTTAAAGATGTACAGGTTGGTGTTTGAACGGTTGGCCTTAGAAAATGTTTATTTTTTTACGGATATGTTTACTCTTTATATAGAAAAAGAAAACATGCCTGTCCAAAAACAGCACTGCCACGCGGATATCTTAAGGCCATATTCCTCAGCCTACAGCTTGGTGCTCTACTGCACACCGTAGTAGAGCATATTACACAGTATAGTACACATAGTATTAACATAATTCACCATTACTATCTTTCAATCTCAAGAAATGATTTTGTCTGTTTGTTTGTTTCTTTTGATTTTGTTTCCTTTTTGTGTAGGATATTAACTATCTAAAGTACTATAGCAATACTTTGGTGCACTACATTATATTTTGATACTATAACGATTTATTATAATCAAATCGTAGTTTACCTCCGAGTCTAGAAAAAAGTGGTCCGATTGGGAGCATTCAGCAGGAGGTGCGTGATTACGTAGTAAACAATCTCAATGATTTCAAGAATGTCGTTAATTTCACAGTCGCGGGTGTTGATTTCATTTTCTTTTTCGAAATGAAAGATGATTGGAAAAGTGTAGAAGTTATAAAATAAATAAATAATTAGATAAACATTTTTGAGACTTGTGCACTGTTGCTGAGTAGATTTAATGTTGGTGATGGGGAATTAGAGGTTAAATCAATAATTAATCGCACAGCAACAACAACAAACCTATAAATTGTAACATTTGTCAAGACAATTCCTTCACATTTACACTATTTTCATAACCTTTCCAACGTATTCATTTGAATATATTTATGCATAATTCGTTAATATTTCTGTAAAATACACTATCCCTTTTCTATAAGAGATGACATCTTGTACTGATGTATGCAAATGCCACAAGCTTATAACATTTAGCACATCGTACTGAAATTCATTGTGTGTACTACTTTAAAAAAGACCTATCTGACCTATCTTAGAATAAGTAAGGTGAATCAAGTCTCGTCCATGCTAAGTGATCGGACCTTTGGGAGTGTTTTGCCTTGTATATCCCTACAATATACATTTGAATTATAACAATACTAGCTGGCATTTACCTGATGTTTTTTTCATTGCGACAATATTCTCCAATACGATAATTGATTTATCCATTTCTTGACGCGAGCATAGCTATACCGCGTTTCTACCATTAAATACAAGAGGCCATATTGATTATTTCCCAGAGTGCTTTGGATTTTATAGATTCAGCACGCTCTGGACAATCTGAAGAGAATAATAGTCGTTTGAAATTCTAACATCTGGTGAGTAAATTTTATCAAAATTCGTTTATATATTTTAATAGTGAACTTGTGATTTGAGTTGAATTGGTGTATCAATTACACTGGGAGAATATTGCTTTGAAATATTGATTAGATAAGCTGAAAAATCTGTTTCAAGCACTCAGTTGATTAGCATATTGGAACATTTGTATCAGATATTGAAAAGCAATTCATTCGGAAAATTAGAAAGTTAAAATTAGTAACTGATATTACATTTGATTAATAAAGCTGAAAACTTATAATTTATATGTGATGAAATAATAACTTAAACATAACTATAATTGATTTTAGTCAGGACTTTTCGTATTTTTCTTTGCTTCAATGAATTTTTCAGAAAAAAGCCCCAAATGTTTATTGTAGAACAAAGTACTAATTTATTAATAAGCAGTACCAGTGATTTTTCACCTTAAGGTCATTAATATAAAAAAAACTTCAAGATAATGATTTAATTTTGATATAACAACTTCGAAATATTGATATCAAAACTTCGATATAAATTTATATCAAAACTTCTAGTGATATCATGTATGTTTACATTTATCCCATAACTTATCGATCAATTGACTTTACAAACAGGCAATTCATCATCAATCTAAAAATTCATTGCGAATAGCTTAAATAGCGGTATTCAAACTACCCAGCAATACATTTTAAATTATTTTATACCAAAGTAGAAACTAATGAAAAATGAACTTTCGAATTATTCTTTTCACAAAACATGCGTTTTTGTAATGACAATGAATGATCACGACACAATAGATATTACTTTCCACCTATCAATTCATATCGGGTCACGGCGAAGGAGCGTGTAGATTTTAATTAACAAAACGATTAAAATCAGCTGTCAGCCCTGCTCGCACTGGAATCTTTATTTAAATTAAGTTATATCTATTTTAATGTAATTTTTCTTTTAAAGACGTCTCTGGGAATTTCAGGGAGCGTTGTATAAAGAACATTGTTCATGTCTTTGAGACAACCTCGGGGGAACTCTGGGGAATTTACATTGATTATCACATACACTGTTTGACATCAAGAGAGGAGCGGTAATATTATCATATCCTGATAATGTCAATAACAGTGTCCATGATTTATTATGGTTAAAGTGAAACAATCCGGATGACCGCATGGCATTGTTTTCATTTTTGCTGATTTATCTGAAATCTTTTACTGGAGGTGACTCGAACTTTTATAATGTATGACTTTATCACTTAAGACTTTGAGCGTTTTGCTTTTGTAATATTATTTCATACGTTTTCAGTACTAAAGTAAGCCTATTTCAAGTTTTCCTTACTAATCTGAAATGAAAAAAGGTGTTACTTGGTTGGAGTGCGTTGTTAAGGGCGAATATAAAATTTTCAGTGCGTTATTTAAGAAAAAATATATCCCAAACAGTGATTTTATCACTGTTTGGAGTTCGGATGCGAGGAATTATATAACGAGGGCGCATCCGAACGAAAAACAGTGATTTTATCAAGCGATAGAATCACTTATTTGGATATACTATTTCGATTCCAGCACATCAACAAATAAATAGCTCAGATGCTCAGTACGAATATAAGTAATCATGAAGGCCGACAGACCTTAATGATTAGTGATTAATATAAAGCATTTGCAAAGAACGATACACAATGCTTTATTGTACACAACGTAATTCTATAGAACATATAGCAGGGAAGTAATTTTCGTGACATCATTTGGTTAACAGACGTCACATTTCACCTAATTTGGCTGGCGAAAGTTCGACTCTCAATTCTGTATATGATCGTTTACAAAATGAACCCGAGTTTTAACGCTATGTCTTTTACAAAATGAGTGTGATTGTAAATAAATTAATATTAAATTGAATCTTTTAATAAGATATAAGCGTGTTCAAAATATGTTCGAATACAAAATTGTGTAGCATTAAACAAAAATGCGTGATCAATTTTCCTATATTTCTATTTAGACATGCCCATAGAATGATGTTTGTATGTATGTAGCCTAGAACGTGTACAAATGATCCTGAAATAAAGTATAAATACATTCAGATAGAGAACAAACGGAAATCTGTGAAACAATATTGAGTACAGAGATAATTTACTTGACGTCATTTAGTTGATTATCATATTTCGATAATTTGATAATCATTAACGGATAAAACACATCAAACTATAACTTGCTTAACAAATTGACTTCGTTCCGTGACGATTAATGATTTACAATAGAAACCACTCTAGAATCAATTAATAGGTAAACTTTGTGCAATAGATAGTTATATATGATTTACAATACCCAGTAACAATATATCCATGAACAAAGGACTTATATTTATTTTAACAAAATTACTGGATCTTATGTTCTAAAACAGAACACTGTTACAAAAACAATAACGACAACGACAATAACGACTTAATATATTTCTCTGAAAGTGTTTACATTTCCATCCACTTTTTTATGACCGCTTACCCTCTTTGACAGTGTTTACATTTCCACCCACATTAAGTTAAAAATAATATTACACAGGTGTTAGCTTTAATATTGGACGTGTTTTTAATATTAAATAGTTTTTAAATGAGATCTAAGAATGTCGAGGTGAAACAATAAATAAACAACAAAAGTAGTTTCTGACTCAAAATGTCAGTGACATCAATTTATTTTCTCGATGTCAAAGATGATTCTTTAGGCAGTAGTTATTAAATATTCGAAATAAAATCATAAAATTGCCTCAATCATCTTGAACACTGCAATAGGCTATTAGCTCAAGAAAACTTAGTTTTCTTGATCTAGTACAATCACTCTGTCGTCATATCTATGTTCAAATAAAGTATTTGTTTTTGGCAAGTATCATTCATTTTTCAGCCTGTATGTCTCTTTTTATGCTTCTTTAAATAGCAAACAACGGTGGTTAAGTTAGCTTTGTAAAACATCATATTTATGATATACTAGTAATATGTCAAGTATATTACTAACAATCAGGAAAATGATATGATAATTCCCGTATACAACACCGTCTTAAATATTTACAATGTACAAATGTAGAATTATATTTTAAAGCGGGATGCTTTGCTAAATTTCATCTAACATTGATATGTCAATATGTCAGCATTTATTAAAGTGGATTGATCTGTCATGGTAGATTTGTAATAAAAAAAATTACTTCGAAAGTATTTAGTACCATTAGTATCATCAGCCATCAACCCAAAACCACGAAATATTTATATATTGAGGTTGTTGGTAAGTGTTAGATACATGATCCCATGTTACATATATATTTCTGTATAGCACATGGAACAACATATCATTATTCATCATATAAATGTTCTTAAGACCTTTATCAATGTGTTTTTATTTCAAGCAATATTTTATAAGAGTATCCAAATAATAGATTACTCTTTTAAAATGTTTTCCTGTTGAAATGTGCCTAATGTTCGTTTGAAGTTGTTTTTTCTTGTACTGAACATATTCGTCTGTTTACTTTTAGTCTCATATTGCCTTGAAATTATTAATCTCGAAAACATACTTGCGTGGGAATTTGAAAGTGTTTCTCCTTTTAAAGGTCATTAAAACCAAACAAATAACTCAAGAACATATGCGACCGTAATTCAAACCATTTTGGGAACAAGTTTTCATCGATTGCGGATGCTTTTGAAGTTAATGTTACGTAAAACAGATAACATTTTTTAAACTTCATTAGAGGAAAGTTTCTACAGTAGAAACTCGATATTTAGTTTATTTCATGCCCAGAAATAGTTAGACTAATCAACTATCATTGAAACTTACACTTTTTTTTAGAAATCTTAGCGCCTTCTTGTTTAATAAAACATATGTTAAATAAAGGCTGGGAAAATGTAAAATTTGCTTAGTATGTTTAGGTACTTGATTAGAATGATCCTATAATTTTCATTTTATTTGTCTCTTAAAATGTCATATCTGAAACATAAATTTTCGTTTTGGTTTCTTTAACTTTCATACTATTTTTTTTTATCTATATCTACAAATTATAATATGCTAAAGGTCAAGTACTGATGTTAATATGTTAAATGCATGTTTTTTATTTCCTAAATCGCAGTATTAAACATTGTCTGATATGCCATTCAAGTTGACCTGTCGGAGGTATGTATGGTCAAGTTGCGTGAATCGAATTACTCATAAAACCAGAAATAATATTCGAAGTCCTTAACAAATTGAACTGGCTGAAGCATTCGCCAAACTGTTCGTAAAAGTTAACGATCGGAGTCATTTTCAGCCTGTTAACGAATGACATTTTGCTACATTTAAAGCTATGACCACCGCTGTTCAAAACTTATTATTTAACCCATTTCATGTTCGAATGACGTCAAATTGGGACATAATGTCACCTAAATATGATTTAACGTGTTGATTGAATATTTTGACAAACATAATAAATTATGAAAAATTGGAAGTACAACCCAGCTTCAATAACGAGTACACGGGTAAAAACATAAACTTACTCTTACATACTTTGTCACAGTCATGATGTTGCACCTTTTCATTATTCCTCATGTAATTTTCATGTAATTTTGTTGTGATTAATGCTTACGATTGCACTTTTACAGCTGTTTGCACAGGATAGTGATGTTATTTTACTTTTACGATATAACGACGAATCAAAATAAAAAAATAATGGTATGAACTGAAATTGTTTAACTTAATCTTTCTTCATAACACATAGCAAGCAATAAGATCTTTCATGTGGATATTAATTTGGTCTCTCGGTGATGCTGAATCGGTATTATTCATTTCATTTACATTAGAGGCGCCACACGGCAGTGAAAGCATTCATGAAATAGAAAAAAAATATTCAAAATAAATAAAGAATTTTAACAGTTTTAAAATTATTCTCATTTTATGATGTGGGAATGAAACTTCAAAGTCATGGTAATAACTTACAAACATTTTTCTTACATAAAGTTGAATTTCGAAATGATTGATTATACAAATATGGCTTTTCTTTGTACTTTCCTGTTTTAGAACACAATATT